ATATATATAAAATCGATATAATATTTTTTGTTTTATTTCTTTACACAAAAATGTTAAAAAACAAAGAAATAAAACCCAAAAAATTACTTTTTAATGACAAAATCTTTAATACAATGCACCGGCGCTATGTATTTTTAATAATCTGTCAAATGTTTGTGGATGACACACGTCTAGTGTTGCTATATAAAAATTAAAACTTTCGTGAGATTCGTTCACTGCCGAGAATAATTGAAAATGGCTCTTTCATGCCACTTTTTCCCTACGTCTTAGAACTTGCTTTATTATAGATTACAAAGAATTCAGAAGAAAATCAGGAAAATTCCGGAGCTTCTTTCCGCGCGTTTGTTTCGCTCCGGCCCCCGTTTAGATCTGAACTTTTGAAGTTTTGAACTTGCTCCTCAAACAAACCCGTTGCCAACCCGTTCTTCTGTCGAAAAAACGCCGCGCAACCAAATAAACGAACACAGTGACATATTCTTCTATCGGGTGTCGACGCGGCAAGCATCTCGCAACAATAAAAATGATTTTTCTTGTAGACAGAGACATTAAAGAAATTTCAAAGGTAACTTAGTTGTTTAAACGGAGTTACTTTAAGGGGATCCTAAACTGACGGTCGAACTCCGTCGATTTACCGACTGAGTTTATAGCTTTTGGCGTCAGATTGTAGTAATATTCGCTTAATATAAAAAGTTATGCAGTTTGTATGTAGAAAACCAACTGCGTCCCGTTTTCGGAACAACATAAAAAACAATATAGAGCTCTCAGAAATGCGTTTAGAAGACTAGTATGAATAAATAGTGTGCGTGAATATTTTCAGAACAATATTGGAATACACACACTATTTATTCATCATTTCACGCACACTATTTATTTACACTAACCTTCTAAAAACATTTCTGAGAGCTGTATATTGTTCTTTATGTTGTTCCGAAAACGGGACGCAGTTGGTTTTCTACGTACAAACTGCACAACTTTTTATATTAAAGAATTAGCACTACGATCTGACGCCATACGCTGTAAATTCAGTCGATAAAACAGATTCAGTTTAGGATCCCCTTAACAAGTAAATTTACCTTTGTGTTAATCACCGATGCTATTAAAACTTGATATACTTATAGAGTAGTTAAAAATAATAAACACGTATTGTTTTATATTGGCAATGGTGCAATTTTAAGGGTGAAAACTACCCTTTGTATTTATAAGTTAGCAATTAATTTGTTGTATGTAAGCTAGTAACAGTATTAGAAGTATTTTTGAATTTTGAAGATAATAAAAAATTTTCATGTTGGTGATAACAAATTTAATAAAAATATTATAAATTTAAAATGACGGATTCAATATAGCAACCTAATAAATGAAAAAAATTTTATCTCGTTCTTTATCAAACCCAGGAATAATCGAGAGTTTATTCCCATCTTGTATTTTTGTTTTTTTACTTCTTATTATTTAAAACATTTTTTTATTCTAAAAATTTATTTGTTTTTAAAATTCAAGATGAGAGGCAGTTGAAGCAAGACACGGATGTTGTTGTGCAAACANGTGAAGATGATTTTTATTTCAAGATGTAATGTGTAAGTATAATGTGATAACGTTTAGACCATNGGTTTAGGTCTTTATCAAAATNTTTCTACAAATTCAATATAAAAACAATAGATTTCAACGAACAAAAAAAATGTTTAAATACAAAATACGCATTGTAAAATTAATATGTAAACTTACAGTAATATGCTGTTATTAAAGTCGTCGTGTAACGAGATGGATACATGTTAACACGTGAGCTGTCAATTACTGATTGAAACTTTGAAAACTACATCAAGATGAACAGTGAATTCAGAGGTCGAAGCATGCGCAATGAAAAGCTTAAGCTGTATTAACGACAAATGGTAAATATGATTTGTCTAGATTCTCCGTGTCACTGTTCAAATTGAGACCGTGTGTTTGTTTCTTAATGTATAGTGTTTCAGAAATTAATCGCTTCTGATAGTGTTTTTCACAATCCAGAATTTTGACATTTTCCCACGAGAAATTGTGGGAATAATTAATTCTATGATCTGTGATAACAGAGGTTTGTGAAGTGTTACGTTTAATGTGATTTTTGTGTTTATTGATTCTGGACTGCAAAACCTTACCAGTCTGGCTTACATGGGAAGCCTCACAATCATTGCAATTAATTTTATAAACAACAAAAGGACAAAAAAGGGGAGGTAAAGAATCCTTTAGTTTAATAAACTTGGACAATTTATTAAGACTGTAAAAAGCAAGGTGTGTGTCAGTCTCTTTGGAAAAAGTTGACGAAAATTTTTTAGAGAAATTATGTATATAAGGCATAACACACAAACCAACGAGGAGGTTTTTTGTCAAGGATGTTATTAGTCAAGAAGGTTTTTAACCTTTAGAGGACGGGGTAGAGGACGGGGCACCACGTGCCCGGGCTGTCGAGCATTTGGCTTTAAATCTCGAAGACTGAACATCTCTCGTCTCGCTTGGAGTTTTCTCTTTCGTAACCATAAACATAAACTCACGATTGTTACGATAACCAAGGTTACGCTTACCAAAGTCGAAAGAATAAAGTGCGGCTGTTTATAAAATGTGTAATCAACAAGATCATTTTCTTTTGTAAGTCGTGTCAACTGTTCTTCTAACGATCACAACTGCACTTTGTTCCGCGTTACACTTTCTAATTCCATGCCGTTACTTTTCACTTGTTCCCTTTTTTTGGTGCCGTGATATTAAAACGCGGTAAGAACGTACTTATTCACACTCTTTACCACTTGGTTAGTTCGCACTATAATACTTGCTGTGGTCAATTTGCATTGCTCCGGCAGCTCTATTTTCCCGACTCCGGATATGACCTCCATTCTTTCTGATTCGTTTTCGCACGTAATTCGTAAAGTTTCTTCCTTCAAGGTCAAGAACAACCATACGCGCGCTTTTGTTAATCGTACCCACACGGTTTGGTTGGAAACCATGTGGTCGATTTCACAGTCTTTGTAGCTACCATCCTTGTTTATAAACATTTGTAACTTGCAGGGCGCTCCTTGCGAGAATCGATACATTGAATCCACATTTTTACACACATAACGATTTTTTGCGCTTATACAACTATTCCACTGTATTTTGTTTAGTACAGAGTACGTTTGACGATTTTTGTCTATTGCCACCACTGGGTGCTTGACTAGCACCGCCGCGAACACGTCGTCCCGTTCATGTACTGGTAAGGGTACTACCCTGTACACATTGTAACTACCGGAACTGACCAACGGAAATTTTACAATCGTGAATATATTCGAGTCCTTACAATAGACATTAACCGTGACAAACCTTTTNATTTCTAACCAGTTTTCTAGAGTCACAGTAAAAGGAAAACGCAGGTCCCGCATGAATTGGTTATTTGCTTTTTTCAGGCTATGTATGATTTGCTCAAGTGGCACTATTTCCAATTTTGCATACTTAGTGTGCACGTCGGTAACGTACTCAATTATTCCCTCGGCATCGAGTTCCATCTTTGTCAGCAAACTGCCCAGCTCAAGGAAATAGTCTCTCAGTTCTTGCTGTTGTGCGTAGTCATCAATTTTTTGAGTTATTCTTACCACTGCTTCCCGCAGCCTATTCTCATTTCTTTTTATGATATTTTCCACATCGTCTACGTGAGCAATCGTGGCATTAATTACTTGTAATTGAGTTTTTACAGTATGCTGCAATACGGCCTGTTTCTTTCTTATTAATTGCAACTGCTCCGAGATTACTTTCTCGTCTTCTGCGTCTATGGTGCCACATAACACTTTGGCTACGGAACCGACTGCGCGTCGGTGTTCCTATCATTTTTATTCTTCTTACTAACGTACTGACCTTGAATTCCCTGTGCCGTAACTCGCCAGAAAAACTGTCACAGAACTCTTTATTTTTACTAAATATTTTTTCGTTGCCGCACAAGTCTCCGGTATTGTCCAACATTCTTCGCAACTGTTCTAGTCTATTATACATAAAAGTTACGTCTAGTCTTATCGCGAGTTTCCATTCTTTGGAAGAACGGTACATTTTGTCTTGTTTCTCAAAAGATATTCCAGGATTATGTTGGATCCTTCGAATCTCCTGTTTTTCGGTCCCATCCCACGCAATACATACGGCAATTTTTAACAGTAAAATTTTTACCCTGTAAGATAATATTTTTACATTATTTTCTGCAACGGTAGTGTTCCTATGCTGTGTTCGCCTATACATAGTTTACTTTCGTCGCGGAGTAAACTGACTCGACTACGATTTCATCCAAGATTACTTTTAATTCCTGGTGTCAAATTTATGCTAAACCGCGGATTTCTCTATTCCCCCTTCCTTTGGAACGGATATTTCGATACTTCACACTTCACCACCGAGTTAGTTCTTCGCTATCTTTGGCGAACGACGGAAAAAAAATGTTTTCTCCTGTGTTCCTAAATTTGTTTATTTTACAACATGGCATCTCCATGCAGTCGATGCGGATGCGCGGGTCGACTATCCGGGCCTCTTTGCATAACATGTTGGCTTGGTCTTCAGTTTGGAGGTGAAGACTGGGTCACTTCATGTAATAGTGTTAGTGACGGTGATAATGACAATGACTCGCGGATCAGCATCACGAGTGCGGCTACCATCGTCGTACCTTGTGACACCGCGGAAACTAGTGCTGAAAGTCATGATCCTGCCTTGCCGGAGCTGCCCGTCCCGTCACCGACCGTTTCCGTGACCGACTCTGAGGACGAAACGATAACCCTGGAGCCTGAAGACTACTCCCCGTCCTCTCCAGACCCGGAGTCACCGCGCACCCCGCCAGTTGTATTCCGATATTTTTTTGACTGGGATCCCGATGTGGTGTGCCTAGGTCTCCCCTTGTCGCCTAATCCTTCCGTCGTAGTCATTTCCGACTCGGAGTGAAGTGGATCGGAAAGTACTTCTTCTTTTATTTAATTTTCTATAAAGGCCTTTAGCCTATTAACATGCACATTCTGTGTGCGTCTTCTCGCTTTTACTGTATATGTAACATCTGAAACTTTTGCCTCTATTTCGTGCGGACCAATCCATAGTGATTCCAGTTTCTTTGACTTTCCTCATTTTAATGTTTCATCATATAGCAGGACCTTATCGCCAACTTTGAAAGATGCTGTTTTTGTCTTCTTATCGTAATAACGCTTTGCTTTTTCTTTTTCCTCGCGCAGATTTTCCCTCGCCACGCGATTTGCGGCGCGTAATCGCTCCTGTAACTCCTGTGCGTAATCTTTTAAATTATACTGTGTCGCCAGAAGATTTCTTAATGCGGTTGGCAATTCCGCCTGTCTACCATACATTAATTCAAACGGTGTAAACCCTGTAACTGAATGTGGCGTAGTATTGTACGCAAACATAGCGTACGGAATCCATTCGTCCCAATCTGTTTGATCTTCATTTACGTAGTGCCTTATATATTCAGCTAACGTCCTATGAGAAAGTTCCAAAGCTCCATTACTTTCGAGGTGATATGCCGTTGTTTGAATTTTATTAATTCGTAACAATTTGCACACGTTTTTAAACATTTCGCTGACGAAATTTGTGTTTCGATCTGTTAGTACCGTTTTTGGAATGCCATACTCGCACACTATTTTTGTAATGAATTCTCTCGCTACGGTCGCTGCTTTTTGGTTTGAGATAGGTATCGCTTTAATGAACTTTGTCAAATTATTTTGGAAGGTCAACAAGTACTTATTTCCGTTATTTGTTACGGTTAATGGTCCAACAATATCGAGAGCGCATTTCTCAAATTGCTCTGCTGGCGTATCGGTGATGATCATTGGCGCTTTAACCCTTTTCGCCATCTTATTTTGTTGACAAAACGCACACTTCGAGATATACTCCTCCACATCCTTTCTAAGATGCGGCCAATTATAATTCTGGCAAATCCTTTTCACGGTTCGCGCTATCCCTTGGTGCGCTCCTAACGGCGCATTGTGATACTCATACAGTATCTGTTTCTTTTCTTCTTCCGTGAGTTCTTGTGTCTCACTTGCTTCTTTGCCTTCATCGGTTTCCTCTGCTTTGTATGTACATACTTCAGGTTGCTCGATGTTTCGGCTTAACGCATCTGCGTTGGTGTTGGCTTTCCCCTTTTTATAAATTATTTCATACTCGTATTCCTCGAGTTTTAACCGCCAACGGATTAACCGTGATCCCGGATTTTTGACACTAAATAACCACACGAGTGCCTTGTGAACCGTTACGATTTTAAACTTTACACCATACAAATACGGTCGAAAATGCATACTATAGCTAACAACTCTTTTTCCGTGATGCTGTAGTTCCTTTCGGCAATGTTTAACACTCGACTCACATATGCAATAGGCTTATCTTGTCTTATCGGGCTTTGTGACAAAACAGCTCCGATTGCGTAACCTGACGCGTCGGTTGTACCGATAAACTCCTTTGTGAAACCTGGATATGCTAGCAAAGGTGCGCTGCTCAATTTTTCTTTTAATATTTCGAATGCTTGTTGCTGTTCGAGCCCTCACTTGAATTTGACACTCTTTTTTGTTAACTGTGTCAAAGGCTTAGCAATTCTTAAGAATTAGTCAATAAATTTCCGGTAATAGCCCGCCAATCCTATGAAAGCCTGTATATCTTTTATCTTTGTCAGCACAGGAAAATCTCTCACTGCACTTATTTTTAATGGGTCTGGTTTTATTCCGTTTTCTGTGATTATGTGTCACAGATACGTGACCTCTTTCCGAAAAAATTCACACTTCTCCGGCTGTAACTTCAAGTTATTTTCTCGCAGTCGTTCGAACACATCCTTCAGTCGTTTACTGTGTTCCTCTAGACTGACTCCATGTATTACAATATCGTCTAGATATACGAACACTTTATGCTCTGTAGTCCAGATAGAACCGAGTTCATCAACCTCTGAACGGCTGGAGCGTTTTTCAGACCAAAGGGCATTCTGATGTATTTATAATGCCCGTATGGTGTCGAAAACGCCGTCTTGCACTTGTTTGCCTCTGCCATAGGTATTTGATGATACCCTGACGCCAAGTCCAGCGTGGAGAAATATTTAGCATTTCCCAGCTGGTTCAGAATTTCCGTTGTGTTAGGTAGAGAGAACGAATCTTCAATAGTTACGTTGTTTAGACGTCGGAAATCCACCACTATTTGCAATTTTCGAACACCTGACGCTGTCACCGGAACCAATAGGTGACACACATATAGCCGACAACCAACAAAAGGAACACGAAACCCAGACAATTGGGTCAACTTTGCAGCTATTGGCAGANCAGCAGCAGCCAACAGCAAGCCGAGATGCGCAGATGCAAGTGCGCAAGTCTACAGAAAGCGGCGACAAAGAAAATGGCGNTTGAATACGCCTTTAGAGACATTAAGTGTTTTATTTTACTAATAGATATATGTATATTCGGTCATGCGAGCCGTTCGCTAGGTGTTGTGCGTAAATTATACGTGTATATATATACATATATACATATATATGTTCACATGTAAATTTTTACACGTGAAATTCGAATTGTAATAACAATTCTAAAATTCATATAGGATGCTATATTTGCATCTCATATATGAGAAATCCCAAATACCCCCCTAATTGAAATTAAATTTATATTGCGAAAGAAACTCCTCGGCCAGGAGTCGAACCTGGAATCTCCGGCTTTCCGTGCCGTCGCCTTTCCTATTCGGCAACCGAGGCACTTGGAGTTTTTCTCGCAATATTCATACATATATATTCTTTGAACAACGCCACCTTCCACCAGCGTGATTTTAAACAATTAAAGAATCTTTTAAGGCTCCGAAGCAGTGTGCCCAGTTTTGACTCTCTTACAGCACGCTGCAGCAAGTGGAGGGGATACGCACACAGGCAAGCAGCCGTGTACATGTGCGCTCGACGCTTCGGCCGTCTTCGGGCGATAGAAGAGAACAGAGATATGTCTACTGTCTCTTTCTTTCAACATAGGCATAGCGTACGCGGCTAGCACGAGCGGCTAAGCCTCGTTCTAGCAGCTGTATATCATTTTTCGGCGTTTGCTCTTGTTCTTGCACTTATTACTTACAGAAACATTTCGATTTAATAAAAAAAATATTAACATCATAAAAGAATAATTAGAAAAATGAAACATATGAGGAGCATAAATGAAAAGTGAAGAATATAAATCCACTCTTGGCCAATATGTACGTCTTTTTGT